GGCCTTGTGAAATAAAGCCTGGAGTGAAATGCACACAGGGATTGGAAACAGGTGAAATCGGTCAACCAGAAAGACAAGAAACGGATCGAGGAGACAATGAGGGGATCCGGATTGGAGGCCCGAGTCGGATCAGCCGGTCGAAAGAGAAGGGTCGGGGTAAATAGCAAGTGTGATGAGGCCACACTAGAATTGCCACAAAAGGCCACACATTTTGACGAGTGGAACGTAAACAAGTAAATTGTGATAGGACGACAGTGGGATAAGAGGGTAAGGAGTATATATATAGGAAAGAACAGAAAGAGAAAGTGTAACCGTTTTCGGCAGAACGTTTGTCGAGAGATTGAATTCACTTAGCTCTGATGAGTTTGTAGCTTGGTGCGGAAAATCGCAAAACTCACTGACGATTCCGACGAAACGTTTGAGAATGTACCAAGTCCACTGTCTGATGCTGGAAATCATGACAACTAGTATGGCGGACGACTTCGGACTAGGTGCGTTATACTAAGACAACAAGAACAAGTTGAGACGAGGTCAAGCCACTTCTATAAATAGAAAGGAGACAGCGACTGTACCAGAGGCCACAAAATCTTCGTCTTGATATCCTCAATAAGGTTTTACAAGAAATTGATGAAAGCACATATTTGGAGGAGAAAATAAAGTATGGGATACCCGCCGGAAGATGGGTAAACAGGTATCTGAACATAGAACTGTCTACAAAATTTTATGGATTGAGGAATCAGGAGTGAACGCAAAGAAAAAGCATATGAGAATGGATAGGCTGGTCCACAACCCACCGCGGGATATTGACCACGAACAACCCGTGGTTGTCGGACGCGAATCCAGAAAGAAAGGCTAGGAACCTTGTTACCTGGTAAGGGTTCTGATACACAAGCTTATTAGAACATTGAACGCACATAATGTACATTCAACCAGGCAAGACATAATATGAAGGTGCAGGACCAAGCTTGAGTATTTTTATATAGGAAAACATCCAGAACTACATCACTCATTCAGGAGTGGGAAGAACGAAGAAGCCAAACGGCGGCAGCCGGATCACGGTATAGGAATATGGCCACAAGGAAAAGGTGGGCCACAGTTCATGGACGCTAAATGGTTTGATTACTTAATTAAACGTCAGAACATAGGAATAATTATGAGGGCATATGCAAAACAACCAACTCACTTAATCTGTGTTGAACTCATAATTGAGAATAAAAGAAACATTTTCTTCAGGCACAAGATAAATGTATCGAATATTACAAAAAAATACATTATGAAAGCGCTTGTACCCAAGCTATCTCCAAGCTTCCGGGGCCAGATTGCTTAAAGTCATCGTAGACGCCTCCAGCTATTTGGAAAGACAAGGAAGTTAAATTTCTAGTATTTAAAGGGTGTGCATATTTGACGGGTCTTCCCCAGTGAAATGGCAGAAATGAACTAAAGTCAAGAAAAACATCAATGAATTCGTTCTTCGGAGCAATGAAATTGGACGTGTAGGACGGATATGCTGACCCATTATGATGTAATATAAGCTTGAAGCGAGAGTTTTCACCCTCTCGACGCACTTTGAGCATAACGCCTCTCATATGACTTAGATCCATATTTCCTAGGTCTGCTTTAACACCAGCAAAGCAAGCGCCATTGGGGAGAGGGTGAAGCAAATAAAAGAAAATAGCCCCTTGGAAATCCTGTGGATTAAAATAATAATAAAACATGAGTTTACATAGCCTTTTTGAGGAACCAGAGTAGCTTTAGAGCGACCTTTGACTCTTACTGTGTCAGAAACCTCTATCCAAGAAGTGAAGGGATAATTTTCGGGATCAG